TTTTTCAAGTTCATACCATTTATCAGGGCTTTATTGAGTATAGTACGTTGGTGTCCAAAATGTTTGTTGGGAATTAAAAGTAAGAAATAGAATTGTTCAAATAAACGAGCCTTATGAGTTAGTTCAGTTAAACTCGTTAAGATTTGAATTTGACTTCGAGTTTGAGTTCGTATTAAGTTCGTTCAGTTAATGAGTTAGACTCGACTTGACATGTTAAGGTTTGAAAATATAATATTTTATATAATTTTTCTAATTCGATTCATTTATATTAATAAACCTGTCGAGCTCAACCTCGATTACTGGCTCGTTTAACTAATGTCTCGTCAAGAGTTTTAGCTCGAGCTTGAGTACCACAAGCTCGGCTCGGCGAACTTAATTTCTATTACAACATGTGTAAATTGGGAGTTGCACAAAACATTATTACAATTAACACTATTATTAGAAAAATCAAGAGTTTCAACTATAAAATAGACTGGATATATTTAGTATTGCTCAACTTTTACTATTGATTGTAATGTTCTAGTATAATACTAGTGTATATCTCGTGCGATGCATAGAGAAGCTCATATTTTAAACCTTTCTTTAGAATTTATTTTAAATATAATTGTTTATATTTTTCACATTTCATTTCATTATGTAAAATAAATATAAACAATAAAAAACATAAATATCAATAGCTACCGTTTACAGAGCCACAACCGTTGTCCCACCATACCCGCCGCCTCTACCCACACGACGCGGCCCACCTCAAAACCCACCGTCGCCACTTTGGGACTATTCCGACCGTCGAGCGCTTGGGAAGGAAGAAAAATAAGGGAATAATAAAAAGATAAAGAGGAAAAAAATAAGGGATGACGGAAAAGAAAAAAGTCATTAGTATAAAAATTGATATATAAGTATATTTATGATGAATCTTTGAAAATTCAATAACCACATTTAGATTATATCACATAAGAAAAAAAATAAATAAGAATTGTTCATTAATATATTTAAAAATAATTTTTAATTTGAAATAAAGTAAAAAGCGTGATAATTCAAATTTGTTTTCAAAAAGTTTCTGAAATGATTAATATTCTGGTAAGTATATCTGTAAGAATAATCGTACCATTTTCATTTTACAAAATTTGGCAAGTTTGTTAATGAGATTAATTCAGTTAGATAAATAATTAATTATTTAAAAAATCCAGTTTGATAAATGTGGATAAAAAAAATGATATTAACTAGTTTGTTACGAATGTGATTATATAGAAGTTAAGATAAAATGAAATGTACCAAAAAATCTACTTGTGATATTTTTCTTTAAATATTTAAGTTTAAAAATATAATAACCAAATTTAGATTATCTTACATAAGGAAAAAATAAATAATAAATGTTTATTAATATATTTAAAAATATAATATTTGAATTTCAAATAAAGAAAAAGGCGGGATAACTGAAATTTGTTTTAGAAAGTTTCTAAAGTGTTTAATATAGTGGTAAGTATATTCGTAAGAATAATCTCACCATTTTAATTTAAAAAAATTGGGCAAGTTTGTTAATGAGATAAATCCAGTTAGATGAATGGTTATTAATTAAAATATTAAAGTAATTATATTTTAAAAGATTCGGTTAGATATGTTGATTAAAAAAATATTATTTAATTAATTTGGAATGTGATTATATGAAAGTTAAAATAAAATAAATGTACCCAAAAAAATTGTTGGTGATTTGTTTCAAAAAGTGTTTAAAATAGTTAATATTTTGATAAGGATATCCGTAAGAATAATCATACCATTTTAATTTCAAAAAAATTAAAAAGTTTGTTAAAGATAAATCTGGTTAGCTAAATAATTAATTAAAATATTATATTCTTTATATCTTAAAAAAGAGGTTCATTTAAATAATTAATTAATTATTGTATCTTACCAGGGCGACAGTCTTGACCAAAAATAATTTATTAGTGTAGATTATATGAAAGTCAAAATAAAATGGAAATTCATTTAAATGTTTGAATTTAAATTTTTCCCAAAAATTTTCAAAAACACATTTAAGCGGGATATTTTTAAAATTTTCAAAAATATTGCTATGTTTAATAAAGTTTTAGGTGAGAATTTGAATTATTTTTAGTTACTTTTAGGATTTTTTGAATTGTCTCTTTATATAATAATAGATAAGCTATTATATGTAGTATAAATTATGTCAATTATGATTTATGCCATATGATTATCCATTCATAAGTTAGAGATAAATGTTAAGACAATCCAAGTATTGCTTGAAATACCAAAACAATGTTGGATAATTAATATCTCACGACCTTTGGTTAATTACAAATTGCACCCTCAATTTTCCTTCTCCAACATGACACTCCAAATCGAAGAGAACAAGAGATGGGGTCAATTCCGTCATTCAACTCTGATTTCCCCAATATCCCTATCCCATCCAATGCCTATTTCCCATTTACTCCATTCACATTTGGGCACAAATGCCATTAGATTTTATCCCCTAAAAATCAAATTTCTGCCTCAAAATTGCCCTCAAAATTTCCAGATTCTACGCCTTCACCTCTATCTGTAATCCTGTTCAGATTGTAGAGAGACGGAGCTTTGTGTATATACTAGTCGCTGTAAGCATAATTACATACAGACACGCATCTGTGTGGTCCGTACTACAGATCTCGCGAATTCTCGCGTGCAGTCGTTCTTTTAGAAGGTAACCTGTTTTTTTCGCCCCGGGTTATGTTCTTTCCCACTATCGGACCCGACCCGAATTATGCGGACGAGCTCCGACTGAATTTGAGGTTACACGTTGAGTGATGATTTTGTGTTTTTTCGCGAAGTTATTCGGTTACTTTTTCAGTAGAGTTGTTTTGTGCATTTATGGTTTATGGATAGCAACATTCGTTGTTTGAATATTGGAGCAGAGTTTGAGTTTTTTCTCGTGGGTTTGATTTCAATTTAGCTCTTGTTTCATTTTATCTGTAGATAGCTGCTTGCTGGGATTTTGCTGTTGTGGATATCCGTATTTCGTGTGATTTGTGGGGTGAATTTGTTTTGGCGCAAGTTAGGGTTGGGTTGTGCTGGGGGCTCATTTTGCAGGAATTGGTATCCTTGATGGGTTTGGAGAAATCTCAACATTTAGTTAAATTCACACAAATGGTATGCCGATTCGAAAGAAGAAATACCGATAATGCCTTATAGAATTCAGTTTTGGTTCAAATGAGAATGACAGAGATGGCTGAACAAGGAGTGTCCGCTTTACCGAATGCCCATACACCCGTTGCCTATTCTATCCATACGCCTGTTACCATATCCCATCATAAACCTGAAAATCCCTGCAATACGCCCGTTAATTCATCCTCCCACACACCTGAAAATCCATCATTTTCTAGTTCGGTCACACCTATTCCCGGTATCAGTTTTCCCCCCTGCCACACATCTGAAAACACAACCGAGCCTTTTTCTACCCTCCCCTTACCCACCCTCCCGTTATCAATCGGCCAGGAGTTCCCAGACGTCGACACCTGTCGTAGGACCCTAAAGGACATAGCCATAGCATCCCATTTCGAGATCCGGATCGTTAAATCCGACCGCAGCAGATTCATTGCCCGTTGCTCGAAAGAAGGCTGCCCGTGGCGCATCCACGTGGCGAAAAACTCCGGTGTCCCGACTTTCAGCGTGCGAACCCTCCAAGGGGAGCACACTTGCGAAGGTGTCCACAATCTCCACCACCAGCAGGCCTCAGTGGGCTGGGTAGCCCGATCAGTCGAGGCCCGCGTGCGGGACAACCCGCAGTACAAGCCCAAGGAGATCTTGCAGGATATCAAGGACCAGCATGGAGTGGCCGTATCTTACATGCAGGCATGGCGAGGAAAAGAACGAAGCATGGCTGCTCTTCACGGGACCTATGAGGAAGGGTACAAGCTTCTCCCCGCATATTGTGAACAGATTCGGAAAACAAATCCCGGAAGTGTAGCCTCTGTTATTGCAGGTGGGCCCGAAAATTCTTTTCAGCGTCTGTTCATTTCCTACCAAGCGGCCATATACGGGTTCATAAACGCTTGCCGCCCTCTTCTGGAGCTCGATCGGGTCCATCTAAAGGGGAAATATTTAGGGACAATGTTTTGCGCCGCCGCTGTTGATGGCGACGATGCTCTTTTCCCGCTCGCGGTAGCTATTGTAGACAACGAAAGTGACGAGAGTTGGATCTGGTTCGTCTCGGAAATCCGGAAGCTTCTCGGAGTGAACACCGACAGCTTGCCGCGGCTGACAGTTCTCTCCGAACGCACCCCGAGCATGGTTTTAGCCGTCGAGATGAATTTCCCGAACGCGGCCCACGGCTTCTGCCTCCGCCACGTCAGCGATAATTTCCGCGACACGTTCAAGAACTCGAAGCTGGTGAACATCTTCTGGAACGCGGTGTACGCCCTCACCACGTCTGAGTTCGAGGCGAAAATATCCGAAATGGTCCAAATCTCGCAAGATGTGCTCTCGTGGCTACACGTGTACAACCCGAGGTTGTGGGCCGTCGCGTATTTCGATGGGGTGCGGTACGGTCACTTCACGCTCGCCGTCACGGAGCGTCTCTACAATTGGGCGTTAGAGTGCCACGAGCTGCCCATCGTCCAAATGATGGAACACATTCGTACGGAGTTAACTCTATGGTTCGACGAGCGTCGGGAGGCCGGTATCCAGCTGGCGTCCTCGTCATCGTCGGCGCTCGTCCCGTCGGCCGAGCGGCGGATCTCGGAGGCGTTGGCCGACGCGAGATGCTACAAGGTGTTACGGGCGAACGAGGTGGAGTTTGAAGTTGTCTCGACTGAGCGAACGAACATAGTCGACATTAGGGGGCGCGTGTGTTCGTGCAGGCGGTGGCAGCTGTATGGGGTCCCGTGCGCGCACGCGGCTGCGGCACTCGTTTCGTGCGGGCGGGACCCGCGACTCTTTGCCGAGCAGTGCTTTACGGTGAGAAGCTACAGGGAGACTTACTCGCAGGCGGTTTGCCCGGTGCCTGACAGGGTGGCGTGGGATGAGATTGGTGGTGGTGGGGAAATGATGATAAGGCCCCCGAAGACGAGGAGGCCTCCGGGGAGGCCGAAGAAGAAGGTGCTGAGGATGGAGAGTTTGAAGAGGCCGAAGAGGGTCGTGCAGTGCGGGAGGTGCCATATGCTCGGGCACTCGCAGAAGAAGTGCGCGTTGCCTATGTAAACTTTGGTTATGGCTTTTAGTAATAATCATCTGCTTTTAGAGTTTTAGTTCTGTGCTGTACTTTTGGAGTGTGTATGCATTTGTGGTGTATCTTTTGTTGTGGGGGATTTTAGTTAGGATTTGTGTGTTGTTGTTACATTGTCCTTTGGCTTTGGCCTCTTGTTGTAGTTATTGTACTAAGTATTTAACTGTAGAATTGAGGCTGACTGACTTGAAGTTATGTTCATGTTTAATTGCTTTTCTTAGTATGGTGATTCTATTTTCTGTGGATGTTAGAATAAATACCAGGGATGGGATGAGTACGGAATATTACAGGACTTGACCTTGAGTGGAGTACAATCAAACTTCATGAGGTAACAGAGACTTCAGAGGTAGTGTTTGTTTTTCTCAGCTGTTCTGAATAAAATTTGCCTCCGAAGATGAAAGTGCTATATAAGTTGCCTTGCGAGTTAACATTCAATCAACTAGGCCAACAACGAAAAATTAACTATTACATTATTAATACATATTATTATATAAACATAAATTTATAGCATACCAATTATTATTTTATTATCTTTATCACGTCACTGTTATTTATTTTATTTTTTTCTAATTTCACATCATCACACATAAAAATTCTTCTACTAATTTTTATTCTAATTTAAAAAGATTTTTTTTTTAAAGAGAAAATGTATCAATATCCAATTACACGGCAAATTTACTCACAACAAATTCAAATCCTACGGGTGAGAGTACTCATTGGTTTTTTTACTTGATGAGGTGCTACCACACAATGGTAGAATTTAATTTATCACAAGTACAAATTGCCCTAGATTAAACTTAATTAAAAGTTTGACCCATCGTCTCCGTTAATTTTTTGGTAAGAAATTTATTTATCTTTAGATTCTAAGCATTGAGT